AAAAAAAAAAAAAAAAAAAAAAGAGCTTGTGACCTTGGGCAAGTTGAGTCGCTTGTCTGTGTTTCAGGTGCTCATTTATAAAGCAGAGGTAATCTCTTACAAGGTTTTTGTAAGGATTAGAAGAGATAATGTATGTAATGTATTTAGCACAGTGTCTTGCTTAATAAATCATAGCTATTATTGTACTCATTAATTTATCAATGAACCCCTAATGTGTTTCTCCTTTCTCAACTCAAATACACAGAAGGTATTACTTATTACTTGTTCTGTGACCTTTTATCTTACCTTGGTTGTCCTTTTCTTCCATTTCCATTGTTTATCTTCGCTCCCACTTCCCTCCTGAACCTATCTCCAACAAGTATTACATATTTCTTATACTTTTTGTGGTTTCTTGGCCTGTTGATTAATATATTGACCTAGCATAGCCCTTGTCATTGCATTAGGTGCCATCATTGGTGGCTTAGTAGAAAACCTCAACAGAGAAGGCGTATGTTCTTGGTGATACTCCAGAGTGAATTTAATATTGGCAATCAAATTTATTCAAGTCACTAGACAGGATGATTCCTTTTGTTATTGGGATTTTAGCTGGGATAGAACTGAGATTTGGATACAGATGGCACCTGGCAGAGAGGAATAAATGTGGGACTGAAATGCCACAGAAGCAGTCAGCAGTGTTGGCCTATCTGGGGGGTGGCCTGAGGGAGGACATTCATAAGGGGGAGTGGGTGGGCATGGGAAAGACAAAAAAATGAATCGTTTAATTAAAATTGGCATGACAACTTGGGCAGTGGGGCCTCACAGAGAATGAATGATATGCAGGGTGTGGTGTATGTATGTGTGGAAAATAGAAAAATGAGGTGTGTAGACACAGGAAGAACTCTCCCTGGGATATTTTAACATTCTGCTTCAGAGTACAAGCAGTTTAGCTGTGAGAAGCCTCACCTTTTTGCGCAGGGGAGGGATGGCTCTCATTTGACAGGGGTCTGCCAAGCTGTCATGTTTGGAGGAGTCAGGATTGTTGCACCCAGAAATGCTTGTGGAGGGTCTTGTAAGGGGTTGAGTGCCTGTAAGAGCATCTGGGGGCTTAGGGCAGTGGTGCTAAAGGTATTAATTCTTTGTCAGAATGTTCCAATCTACACCCATGGCTGATGTGACCTAACCAAGCTGGCTTACCTTTTAGAGGTTTCTTTTTATTATCTCCTCGAGAGTACATGCTCTGGCTTCTTGGCCTGGCAGGTTTTTCATTACTTACATGATACATATATGTACTTTTTGATAATCTTAACTGTTTTTGTCCCTTGTGAGTTTCTGCCATTGTATGCTGCAGTGATGAAGGATGGAGGGTTTGTTCTTCTTTCCCAGGGTGTCTGGTGATGGTCTGTGTGTGTCTCTGGTCTGTTTTTGCCTTTCCATTGTGAAATAAATAAAAATGTAGAATTTTGAAATACATTTGAAATGTTCTGTTTAAGGATTTCACTTTAGTTATTACTGTTTCTACTTTATATTAAAAAATCTGGTTTCCTCTTCCATTTGCCTAAATCTAACCCATTCTTCTTCTTCTTATTTTTTTTGCATTTACTTTTCTGAAAATTTGAACATTGAAAGAGATGGCAGCTTAACCATGTACCAGGGCTTTCAGAAAATGTGAAAAAATGAATTTCACCTTGCCTAATAGAATTGCCTGGACGTGGTGGAGGGATATGGTGTGGCAGAATCACAGTTCTTCTACCTTTTTAAAATTGTTCTCCCTGATTTATTCCCCCTTTCCCCATTCTCTTCTGATGTGTGGGTTTAGGAAGCTCCAGGTGACTCTTTCATACATACCCTCCCCTCTTTTTCTCCCTGCCTGTCCTCGCCACTGCACACATGTGCTGAAGGAGGTGAGCATTCTGGAGATCTGACTCTAATTTCCATATATCTTTGCCATCTTTGCAGTTACAGCTTTTTTCTATTTTTTTTTTTTTAAGTAGAAAAAAGCAAGTTCTTGTGAGTTCTCATACATACTTTGAACTCTGGAGACAGCTATAAGTAAAATAAAAGTATATATATATATATATATATTTTATATGCATGTTTATATAGTCTAAGAATTCATGTTACTATAAACTGCTCTTTAGCATTCGGAATTGTGTATTTCAGTGTCAGAGTTCCTTGTTAAAAAAATTAGCCTTAATATCGATTTCCTCCTGCTCCCACCTTGGTTAGTATATGAAAACCCTAAAGATGAAGCATTTTTAACTAATTTTTGTTCTTTACACATAATCAGAAATCAAACTAAATCCATCTGTGGTGCTAGCTCATTATCTTTCTAGACTTTAGCTAAAGATCTTGTATATTTTAATCAGTTGCCCTGTTTTACTATTAATCCTGGCCATCCCAGAATAAGTCCTGCTTGATACAGGGTATTTGTTCAACTACTCATCTTTGTTAAAAAAGAAGATACCATAAGACCAGTCATCTCTTGCTGCATCTGGAGTGAGACTAAACTTTATAATATAGTGATAAGTTTGACCAAAATAAAGTTTAACAATTTTGGTATGTCTCAGGAATTGGAGAAATTAGTATGTTGGTACTGTGCGGAGAAATGTGGGTTAAAAAAACCCAGCTAGAACTCAGCAGTCTTAATTTAAACCTTGTGCTACATAAAAATTGAATGTTGTCCATAGACTCCAGACACAATCACAAAGCTCTCGAAGTTTATGTATTTTTCTTCTGGAATGTAACTTCTGTTAATATAACATAGGATTTGTGGATATCTTAGTCTTAAAATTTTAAGATATTTCAGGGCTTATCAACTGAAGGCTCTTGAAATGAAAACTATGTGTATTCATCATACATGAAAATAAAATCTTTTTGAAACTAAAAAATCCTTTAAAAAATTCATGAGCAGGATGATACTGTGGAATTTTTTTTGACAGATTGCTTAGAAACCTCAAAATCAAAGTGAAAACAAGTTGGAAAGTCCGCTTTGATTTTGCTGGGTCACTTAATTTGAGTTGATTTCTTCAGAGCACATAACGTTTCTTAAAGTACAGTACTAATGTTAGAGTCCCAGGTAGCCAGCTTTGTGAGCTGCAAACTTTGACCTGTTATACTACCCCTGGCTCTAGAGACTCAGCCCAGGAATGTGAATTGGGTGAGAATATGTCAGAACCTGTCTTCCTGTTGTAGGAACTCAATGCACTTACTTGGTTGATACTGAATTGCTGTAAAAATAATTGACATGAATGACATGTTGTGCTTTTTTCCCCAACAGTTAAGTACATTTTACATCCAGTATCTGAAGTTACTACCCAAAGAAACAGTCTTCGTGTTTTGACAAGTTATTTTTTAAACCTAGTAGTTAATACAATGAATATGTTTTTTCCTTTTGTTTTATTTTTTTACAATGTTGTAAACATATTTACTGGATTTAGAGGTCAAACTGTAGCAGAATGTATACATAGAAACTCTGCTTATACCCTTGTTCCCCCAACCTGTTTGCCCTCTCCCTCTATAGGGCATTGTTTTTATTAGCTTCTTTCTTTTTAAAGTATTTTTTTGTTCATCAAATGAACTATTTTAAAGTGAACAGTTGGGTGGCATTGAATACATTCAGAGTACTGTGTGATCAGCACCTCTAGTTCCGGAACATTTTCATCCCCTACTCAAAGGAAGTCCCATGCTCATTAAGCAGCCCCTAATGACCTGTGTTTTGCTTCTATGGATTTATTCTGAATATTTTTATATACAGGAATAACACTTTTGTCTGGCTTATTTTGCTTGGTGTAATGTTTGAGGTTCATCTATGTTGTATATGTGTCAGTACTTCATTTCTTCTTATGACTGAATTTTATTCCATTGTATGTATGTGCCATAGTTTGTTTATCCATTTGTCTGTTGATGGGTATCTGTGTTGTTTCCACCCGTTGGTTATTGTGAATAGTGCTGCTATGAACATGTATGTGTGTTGGAGCACCGTTTTTACTTCTTTTGAGTATATGCCTAGGAGTTGCATTGCTGGGTCATATGGCAATCATGCGTTTTACTTTTCAGGAAACCACCAAAACGTTTGCCACAGTGGCCGAACCATCTTCCATTTCCACCAACAATATACGAGAACTCCAGTTTGTCAGATTATTGACTGCACTTACTTTCCTATTTTTAAAAAAAAATTCTGTGGCATTCAGGGATCTTCATAATCTGAGCTTTGTTTTCCTTTTCAGTGTAATCTTTTCCTGGTTTCTTGTGGTACTTTCAGAACACTGGATTATAGTAGTTCTACTCTTTTGCTCCCTTCTTCTCACCTAATGTGTTGTCCCCCCCCCTTGCCCCCCCCACCCATTTTCCTCCACCCACAAGATCTTGTCTCTGTCTCTGTTGCCCAGGCTGAGGTGTAGTGGTGTGATCACAGCCCACTTCAGCACCTACTTCCCAAGTTCAAACAGTTTTCCTAGCTCAGCCTTCCAAGTAGCTGGGATCACAGGTGTGTGCTGCCACACCTGGCTAATTTTTTCTTTTTTTGGTTTCACCATGTTGCCAAGGCTGGTCTCAAATTCCTCAGCTCAAGCAAGCTGCCCATTTTGGCCTCCCTAAGTGCAGGAATTACAGGTGTGAGCCAATGCACCAGACCAGGTTTTGCCCTTTTTTTGCAGGTCTCTTTAACCGTGATGCTGTCTCCTAACCCCTTTCCCCCTCCATTCCACCTAGGGCCAGGCAAATTCCAACTCATTTGCTGAGTTTCAGCCTAGGCAGCACTGGCTCGCTTGTAGCCTTTTCTAATTTCAATGCCTTCTGTGCCAATAATGGCCTTGCTTCCCATAGTACTTGATGTATCGTCTTAACTTTGTATCTTATTGTAGTTTATTATATCAGTGTTCACTGAACTTCAAAAGACAGGATTACTTTATTCATTATTACATTC